AATCACTGCTGCATGCAAAGAGAAACAATGTGAAACCAAGCCAGCCAGTAATATGATTTAAAAAGGAAAAGCAAGACCTTGAGGCTGATACAAAAACCTATTGCAAGGGAACACCACAGAAGAGAGACTCTGACTCAAGCTCTCGAGCAAGTCTACTTCAAGTTACCAGATATGCCCTCACAGCAAAAGCAGTGCTGGCATCTATGCCTTGCCAGTAATTAACTATATCTTTGGGTACGGTAATACATCTGAGACAGATGTGCAGTTTTTACCTATCTTTTCTGTTCCCATCACCTTGCCATTATCCTGGTCATTAGCCTCCTCACCTAAGGCACGAGCAAGAACTATACAATCACTAAGTGTGACCGGGAAGTTTGTGAACATTGCTCCAGTTCGGAGCAGTTCTGACAGTTAAGCTATAACTACAGAGTAAATACGAACTGTACTCTTTCAAAGGCAGAAAGATAGATCTCAGCAGATGATAAAGCACCTGGAAAAAGGAAGAGTGGAGACAAACAAACAAATCTATACAGAGAACTTTGGATAAGAGATTATTTTCTTCTTTGTTCCCTTTAATTCAGGCTATCAATTTCAGGAGCAAAAGTCCATCAGGAGGTTACAGATAAGCAGAGCTCTACTTTTTAAGTGTGTGTAACATTCATTTGGCCACTCACTAAAACACTGAACAAGTCTCCAGGAAGTTAGTTAGCATTTTTAAGCGTGCAACTCGAGGACGTCATACAGAGCATCAGGAAAAGACATCTTCCAAGCAGTTACAGAAAATAAATCCCCTGTGAAACAAACTAAGATTAGAAAGGAGTGCAGAGAACAAAGAAGTATTAGCTAGAGACAGGATAATTACAAGAAGTTACAGTCTTGTCTTCCATAGTAGTAAAACCCAACAGTTCCTTCACTAAAAGCCCATAGGTTCAACACTAAGTCTAAGTCAGGGCATAAATCCAGCTAGCACGTTGGACTAGCAACATTTTGTATCATCATCATCAGACACCCAAGTTTTCACTTGAAGTATTAAGAAGTGTTTCTAACTGATCTGGTAACCAAGGGAACATCAAGAACATGGGCTAGGCAACTGATTCAATATTGAAGAAACACATGCAGCCCTCGCTGTCACATCTAAGCATTTCATTCCTCATCTTGTCATCTCAGGGCAGCTCCTGTGGGGCAGATGGGACTGAGTTACAAAGACTCACAAAAACAGCCACTCATTATGCTACTGACCACCATAATGAGCCCTTGCTGATTATTATTTTTTAAAAAACTCATATAATCTGCATGTTATGCATAAAAGACGACACCAACACATCACGAGTGCTGGCAACAAATGCACGCAGGTAATTAAAGGCCTCCTTCTGCCAGATCATGAGCTGCCTTGTCTCATTACCCTCCTGAGGGATCCCCCCTTCTCTCCAGGCAGTACAGCATCCATCCCTGTCCAACCCCTCCTAAACCAGCACCATCTGCTAGGCCTCAGCTCCCTTTCCCCACAGTCCCTTCGGCTGGGCCACCTCGGCACACAATCCAGCCCACATTAGATGCCTGAGAGCTGGCACAGAAGGAAGGGGAATGTCTGGGTGAGATGGAGCTGTGGCAGCCCCAGCATCTGGCCAACCGTTCACATCTTCTTCACTCAAGCAGTCAACTACATACTCTGTTTTCACAGGTATAAACCTACTGATCATTCAAGAACTTACACAGGAGAACCTGAAAGCTTTTAAGACTATTGCATTGTGACAGTAAAGACAGTAATACAACCTCATAGAAACCTTCTGTCCTGATAATACAGGCTTTGAAAGCCCCAAGCTTCAGAAAGGGATGCTCAAGCTAAGCACAGAGCCATCCAAGGTCACCAGGAGTGAGATGGAGGGGCAGTGCTTAAGCACCTTTCTGCAAACGCCTGCAGCCAAGAGCAAGAAAACACTACTGTCCACAGAGAGTTTATGACCAAAGGCATTGCTATGTGTATTAGACTCCTCCACTCGTTTGCAGATACATCAGGGCAACCCCAGTTCACTTAGCAACAGAACAGCGAGTATGAATTTTGGCATACAGAAGATCAAAATGCACTTTCTGCATCTCCTGGCAGGTTGCAGAAGACCCTCTTTGAGTAAATGAATTTTCACAGGAGCAGAGAGAGTCTGTCTTTATAATTCTAGCACTTCATCGAAACATTGGTCAAGCCATTACTCCCATCTCCGTTGTCTTTGGATTTCAACCCAAATTTCACGTATTTCAGAAGTGAGTGCCCTGATTACATGGAAACAAACTCTTCTGCTTTTATCTCCAGATCTCTTGAAGTCTTACTCAGGACATACTCACCCTTGGCAGTTGTTTCTTATTTTGTGAAACCCAAAATAATTGCTCCAGGTGAAGTGAATGGCTCCATTCCTATCCAAGCATTAACTTGGATAGGATTTTAGTATCAATACTGTTACATTAACCTTGTCACTGTTCAAAAGCAAGTAGTGAAAACAAATCTTTTAGTGAACCATCTGCATAATTCACTGCAAATAGTTTATTGTAGTTCAGAAGTGAACAGACTGCAGGGCTACCCCAATGTTCCTCATCTTCTAATTGAGAAAGAGTCAAACAGCAGTTGACGAAGAATTTTAGATGCTTGAAATAGGAAACCAAGCACGAGATGCAGAACAGGGAAGGGTGAAATAGCATGGCAGGGGAGGGGAGGTAGAATTGTGGCCTGTTTATTTTGCAGGTAGAGTTCGGAAGACCATTATCGCTCTTTCTTCTTTCCAAAAGGCCCCGCGAAGTGATGTGCTAATGAATTCAAGTCATTACAGTACGAGAAAAAGCAGGTCATCCAACCTGCACCCACGGGTGGCGTCGTGCCCTTCCCTGTTCCCTTCAGATACGCAACCGAATTACAGACGGTGCCACGGAACGCCGTGACCCGCTTGGCCCGAGGGAAGCGCGGAGAGTGGGGCCCATCTCCATCGGAACCCCAACCGCCACCAGC